ATATATTACAGTAAGATCACTATTTAGGTTTTTACTTGAATTGCCCCAAACCAAAATGATCTTTTACATTTGCATTATATTTTTTTCAGATATAGAATACAGTCTCTTTTTTTCTTTCTTTGTGGAAAATGCTGATATAAAGCCACAGAAGAAAAGGACATGATTCCCTCCATGGTTCCTATTCAGCTGCAAGATCTCTCATCTGGGGATATCATTGAAGTCCCTCTAGAAGCACCATGGCCAGTTGAGTTTTGCTATATATCACATATTCTAGAGTAACACCCCCTGCCTCATAAGAGCCCACAGCCTAGTTGCCTGCATATGTGAGAGCACAGTGGCCATAACCACAGTTTTCAGCAATCTGTTGTTTTCATGAAAATCTCTCATATAAGCAATATATGAGCAATAAGCAATAGACTAACTGGTGGTCAAGCAACAAAAGCAACAGTATAGAATTTTCTCTGAAGTCAGGAACAAGGGTAGACATCATCTGGTTATGTCTGGTTCTCATGCTTTGATGCAACACGTTCAAAAAACATGAAATCCTATTAAAAACAAAACAAAACAAAGCATGAATTAGATGAACTCCAGTGCAGACTGGTCCTTATTAAGAAGCAAAACTTTATAAAGGGGAAAATCCTATTATGAGATATACAAAGCTAGTACAGTAAAGCAAGGCCAAAAGGCTGCAGTGAGAGCTGTTTAGATTTTTGCTAGGTAACCCTTTGCTGGCTTGTAGTGCTCCAAGAAGGCTATTCCCTTCTTTTCTATTTACCCTTATGAGATACATTGGAGCATCATAGAAATTTCACCTTATTAACTTCCCAAGGGCAATCTAATGCTACACATCAATTCACCCTGTAGTGCCTTAAAGTTCTGGAGGTCAGATCTACAATCCTCACATTAAGAAGCCCACAATGGATTCTGCAAACAATTGTTTCAACTTGTGATTCTTATGAGTTTGGTCATCAGTAAAGTATTACAAAGATATTTACCAATAGGAAGCAAGCTCCAAGCAAAAGGGCTTTCATTTTAATCTCAAGATCCACTGGGAATTGGATTATGAAGTTGCTGGCATCTGTGGCAGCTTCCCTTGCCAATCCTGTCCATTTCTTAGAGATTTTTCCAATTGTTGATCTTTCATCTAAGGATTTCACCTGATTGTAAACAAGTAAGAAACAATTATTCAAAGAAATCACCATAAGTGTAATGCCTAGTGCTAAGACTGACTCAATATGCAGCCATGAATTTTATAACCTTATATATATCTTTCTTATATAAGATGTAGTTTGTTATTTCATGTAAGGATCACAATGCTATCAACACACCATAGTCCTAAATGCAATGTGACATGTCACCTTTAGTGAGAAATTAGAATTTGAATTCTATTAATACATAAAACATTTGCTATGAAGATTTTAAGATGTATATGCATCCGCACCCAGGGATCTGCAGAACATATTATGGAGAATATAAATATGTATTAAAATATACTAGGTATGAATTAATTACTAGCTAATTAATGTAATAATCTTACATGTGATGTTATACAAATTGTGCCCTAGCAGAAAAGTTTGAGTGTGGCTTCACTCATTGTGATGGATTCATTCACTGATCAAAAATGATATTTCCACTTACAGTATGTACTCATTTTAAAAAATATATTTTTTTTTTCAGATTCAGTACTGGAGTGTGAGATAATTTTGTAAGTTTTAAAAAGTTTTTAAAAGTTTACTTTCAAGTGCCCCCTGGGCAGAAATGCAAGACACACAAGTCAATTTAAATAACAATAAAGCTGTGCCCCTCCCCGTCCCCCCAGTATTACTTCTAAATTATTATCATGTTTCTTTCAAGACTTCACATAGGACACGTGAAGCTCTTTGGCTGCAAAGAAGAATAAGGAAACAATGGAGAGAACTGTACTGTATGCAGCAATTCCTACTTCTGCTGTTATGAATTGGAAAAGTCATAGGCTTATCAATGTTCAAACTGAATATATCCCAACACTGAAAGGTGGGTGGGGAGGGAGGTTTTAGTGTCAGCTTACCTCAAAATGAATATCCTCATAAAAACGGCATGGTACACAAGGTCCATGCAGTTTCAAAATGCTTTCTCTGGCCTCATTCTGGATCACAAATTTGGGCAAGCAGGGGTGCCACTTCTGTTTAATATATCCAATGACTGTCCCTAGAGGTGCTTGAACCTCAAGCTTCAAGAAAAAAAAAACACACAGCACAATTAGAATGAAGAGCAGCATTTTGTCCCATGGTGAGTCACGTGTAAGAGGGACTTTTACTATAGTTAGGGTTGAAAGCACAAGAAAAACCAAGGCATTGTGGATCAAACAGCAGGAGGCAAAAAGGATTTTTAATACATTGGTTTTGGATTTTATGTGGTTGCATTTTCTTCATTTTTTTTTCTTGTGTTAGTATTAAGTAACAGGCAGCAAGAAGATGACTGGCTCAAAATCACCAAGTGAACCTAAGTATGTACACTAGCGTATCTTGGTTGCAAAAGTCTGAATGACCACTATATGATAGCAGAGAGTTTGAGTTTTCTAAATCTCTTTGCTTCCATCTAATGGTCATAAGCATTTTTTTCTGCTTGTATCTGATGCCTCTAGGGTGGATATGAGCCTGGGTCTCCCTAATCTAGTCCAGCATTTAATTGCTATACCACAGTGGCTCTTATAGAGGGAGTCCAGAGGGAGATAATGACTTGGGGAAAGTTACCTTACATTAATTGCTATTGTGTCACCTGTTTCTGGTATCATCACCCCCTCCCCCAATCTCCCCATGTTGGTGGAGAAGGTCCATAGGGAAACTCAAAATACCTATATAGAACATAAGTATTTCTAAGAAGAATCCTTACAATTAAATACTGTAGTAATAAAAATCATTTGAGGAAAAATAGAAAGCTAATTTCTATGAGGTTGCATTAGAAGGTATCCTCAAGAGGCTGCCTTCTTGATACTCTGGGGAAAAAAAAAACTATTGAACAGAAACAGTTGAAATGGGCAGGGGGGTTGAGTTGTTTACCTCTTGCAGACAGCAAATACAAGGACAGCAGCAAATGGAGCATTGGAAAGCCCTTGACAATTGTATGACTGGCTGGTTTTTACTGTCAAAGAGTTTTATGGTAAATGATCTCAAAGGCCCGTAACAGTTCAGATTGTAGTCATCATTTTCTTCCACCGCAAAATATATCCACTGCCCCATGGCATTTTTTACTTCATACCTATTACAAGTTTCATAGCCACTTATCACTGAAAAAAAAGGAACATTGATAAGTGCAATAGCTGTTTCAAACTTATGCAAGCTAATAATGTCATATAAATCATGTACCTTAATAAAGCAATTATTATGATGCAATGATGACATTTGGACTGCATTAACCATGGTATAGTGTCAAAATAACATGAAGTAGTAGATATGTTCTATGTTACTGTCAGACTGCACCTTGAGTACTGGGTCTAGTACAATACAAGAAGTACACTGAGGAACTATAAAAGTTCAAAGAAAAGCAACAAAGATGGTGAGCAGATTGGAGGCTAAACAGTATGAAGCATGGTTAAAGAAACTGGTTATGTTCCTAAAGAAGAGAAGAGAGATGGGCAGCATACAAGATGATGATGATGATGATAAGAGTTAGTAGTCTTCTAATATTTAAAGGACTCTCACAGGGAAGAAAGAGGCTGTGAGTCCTAATCCACAGTATCTGAGAACAGGACAAATCACCAATGGATGGAAGCTTTATAGAAGAAATTCAAACTTGAAAGGAGGAGGAATTTCCTGACCATGAAAGCTATTAAGCAATGGAACAGCCTGCCTTCTAGAGCTCTGAGTGCTCCATCACTGGAGGTTTTCAAGTCAGATTGGACAGGCAGAGTTGTACTGGAATACCTTCCAACTCTATGATACTATGAGCTACCAAATTGAAATTCTAATCTTTAGCAATAAAATCTTATCAGAACACTGATAAGAACGTCAGTGAAAACAGCTTATACTATGTGAAGAAATAAAGTTGTGCAGAAGCTTACAATATTTTCAGTGAAGTGTCCAATGACTGACTAATTACTGCAATAAAAGATGAAAGTAACTTCATCATAATCAGGGAAATAAGTAAAAGAATGTGGAGAAGCTTCTAACAATGTGCTGCCAGTGGGAGTACCCACATATCTACAGAAACCTTCCCTGATACTCACCAGCCTTCCTACTGGATCTTTAAAAAAAATCAGTAATTTTAATTAAAAATCAGTAAACAGGAAGCTGGCATCCTGAAGCCCCTAGCATCAACTTTCTTTACAATAAGACCTCTAGGAACACACATACCCTAAAAGCATTCTTAGAAAATAAAAATGCTAGGTGGTAACAGTCCATACTTTCTTTGAAAATGTACCCTAGGAAAAAAAAAAGACAAAGGTAAGATTGGGTGATAAATGCATCTTTTGAAGAATGAGAAGAATTGGTGGGCCATAACCTTCCTAGTTTATTTTGTGATAAATGAGAGTTTGTGACTGGCTGTCATTTTCACTCTAGATACTGTTTTCACTCAGGGTGAAACTTGCAATATTGTGTCAATTTTCTTCACTAAATTAAATGACTCATTTAAGTGATGTGGTGATGTTTTATTGTCCTATATTGATTTCTTCTGCAGTCATCTTCTACCTATATAAAATAGTAAATTGGAGCCAAACAGGCTTATCCTCAAAAGGGAGAGCTATTTTTGTTCATGAAAGACAGTCAAATAAACCAGAGATTTCTGTGAAGAAAATATTATTTTCATTTCTTTCCCTTGGAATTCTCCAAACAACCCATGGAAATAATATAAAAGCTGAAATCATCTCATGGTTACTCTTGATTAAATTATATATCTAGAGCACCTTTTCCTCTGAGACCTTCTCTTTCTAAATAGTCCTCTGCACTCTCTTATATCTGCTAACATTTATGGCATGAAGTGCTAAAGCAGAGATTGGATTTTAGCCAAGATCAAAGATGGCTAAAGGTTTTAGTCCAACAATATCTGGCAGCCTTGTTTCCTTTATAGCAGGAAACTGGACTTCCAGATATTGTTAGAGTACAATCCCACCTTTATGGTCATTATGTTGTCACTTTAGAATATTCTTCCACTTGAAGCAAATTTATCTATTTAACTGAATGTAGTTTTACAAGTGGCTACTCCAGACTCTCCCAAATGGCTTTTGGTAGTGATTGAAGATGACTGGACTTTTTAATTTTATTCTTAAGGCTACAATTTACATTTCCTTGCAAGCGTCTATTTTTTTTTTTTAATGATTGCTGAAATGTAGTTTATTACCTTTTTAACCTCCCCCGCAAAACCCATTGTGAACACTGCTGGGTAGGGCAGGGGGGATTGCATGCTGTTCATATTATATTAATCATGTTCCAGTAGAAAAAGTTATGTGTAAGAAATATATAGGTACATTAATGTCAGATGTAAACAACAAATCTTGTAGCTCATTTATAAGGCTGAAAATGAGCAATGTATTGTGGAATTTACTTGTAATTTTATCAATACTAAACACATGTTTAATATTTCAACTTATATAACAGCATCTAAAATTTATGAAATGGAAATACATGTTTAAAAATCTCCAAACACCCAGTAATGTTTCCCAAAAGCTAATAGAATACATACTTTCCATAAGCTCAATCTGCTGTTCAACTGACAACTGATCAATCTGTTGTAATGGTAAAAAAGAACAAATACAATATTAAAAATGAAATGGATATAATTATTCCATTTTCAGAAGTCACAGTTTTATCATAATGTATATGAAAAGATGGCTTTCTATTTTTTGTTCTCTGTATTGAATAGATTTCATATTCAGGTGCCAGTGGCATAATGCAAACTGTAATAGCATTTTTCTTAAGGAAAGCCATTGTGAGTTCCCTTATTCTTCAAACACACACAAAATAGCCCAACATGCAAAATATTGTACTTTTACATAGAAGAATAATTTAATCAATAATAAATACATATAAACAAATAAATAATTTATTATTAATATAATTGATAATAAATCTGTTTAATTCACTATGAAACAGACATTCTTCTATTTAATCACTCTTCATTGGAATCATGTCAATCCACTAAGACTATATGGATGGAAGAGAAATAAATACTTCATTATATGGGCTTCTTGGAAATGTCTAGATCTGTCCTAGTTAATGACTGTAATAAAGATTGATGATATTGAAAGTCTCAGACTTTGTCAAAGAAGCACCTTTTAAGCCGAAATGTTAGTTGCTTCTTTAGCATATGGCAATTTATGAAACCACTAACAAGCTAAGAGTAGATGCTACTGAGTAACATCCCTGGGCATCCACAAAAGGAGCTTTCCCCAGATAAGACTCTCCAGCTATGCTGGCCAGGGACTAAGGAAGATATAGTCCAGCATAACTGGGGGTTATTAAGTAGGGGAAAGCAGAATTAGAATCTCATGCAACTACTATATTGATCAGGTAAAAGATACATGGAAAAAAGAAAGAGATACCTGACTTAAATATTCTAATCCAGGCGGGCATTTGGGAGGAGTTGGTGGGGTTGGCATCCAAACCACAGGTAAAGCTGCAGCAGGTGCACTGGAAACGGGGAAAGCTCCATAAGCTACTGTATGAGCCACTGAACCTGCATTAGGTTGAACTGCCAAATTTCAAAAGAACAAAGAGATCATGAGCAAAGTCTTTTCTAAAATGAGAAGAATAACTGAACATTAACCAAGGATTTGATAAGGGTTTGCAAGACTTCAGTGAAAAAAAAAATCTGCATTGGTCTGTCAGATAAGAAATATAATCTTATTCCTTATAACAGATATGACATGATGCAAGGGCATAAAACATTCTTGCATAGAAAAGAACTGTGTCTGCTAATAATAATAATGTTTTCAAAACCATTTTGATTTCAGAACCCCATCCGCACCTTAATCCTCCTGACCCCCAGTGTGTTAAAAGAAGCCTCTCTCCCCCAAAACCCTAAGAAATAAACAGATATTAATATTCTAATCACATTACTTTGCCTGCTCCTGTTCTGCCCTGCAAGCTATTTCAATACATTCTTTCCTGGAATGTTTTAAGAAATCAGTGCTTTTATGTACTATTAATTTTTTTGGGGGGGGGGAGGAATTGGTAATTTACTTGAGTCTGAGATGTCTAAATTCAAAGCCCAGCTCTGCTGCATCCACGCAAACACGGTGGATTCTATTTTTGGCTAGCAAGCTTCAGCAAGTTGTCAATTTTCAGTCTGCCTGATGTTCACAGATGATGTAATACCATTAAGACTGCTTTGAGTTCTCTGAAAGAACAACTAGATAAAATGTCATAAAATGTAATTTCACCAATATAAGAAAAGGCAGGACCTCTCTGAGGTTGCATGTGTTCTGTTCTTAGAAAGAAGCAGAAACCCTGCTTTTAACATGGAGTTATGGTGGGGCAGGATTGAACTGAGGGGAGAGAGGTAAAGAAATCTCTTGCTAGTCAAGCTTGACTCTGACTGATTTCATCGACACTTATATTAGTTTTCTTGATAATAATGGAAAGCAGTTTGCCTTTGCCTCCTTCCAGGAAGTGTTTTGAACATCCCAATCTAACCTACAGCCTTAATATCTCCTGAAACGCCGAAAACCTAGAAAGAGTCTAGATTTGGCTTTAATGTTGGGTTTTTCTGCCTTATTAAGAACATTGTAATCTTAGCCTAGAGGTGGGTGGCCTGTGAGCCTCACATAGTCCTCCAGACCCCCATTTCTGAATTCAGCCGCAATATGACCAATTTTTGGTCATATAATTTTGAAGTTTTTTTTTTTAATTAAAAAAATAAAGGCAGTGATGAAAGCAAGAGGCTTCAGAGCGGCAAACCACTCTCATTTCCACGCTCAAAAACCTCAGTGTTCAAGAACCCAAACTTCTTGCCAAATTTGTGAATGAGACAAGGCAACTGTAAAACAAAAGCCTAATGGGAAGTTTTTGAACCAGGAAGCCTACCAATGCCTCAACAACCTACCTGGAAAAGTTGATGGAGGCATATATTGAGGAAATCCAGATACATACTGAGGAATTCCAGCTTGGACCTGGACAGCTGGATAACCTGGGCCTGGATAACCTGGGCCTTGGTATCCTGGAGGTGCTTCTGCAGGTGGTGGTTGATTTGCTAGAAGAACAGGAAGGTATTTAAGCTAATGGATGGATGGATGGATGGATGGATGGATGGATGGATGGATGGATGGATGGATGGAATGCTTAATGTCATTTGCTGGCCAGCCTAATTTAACCTTAGATTTTATTTTTCTTACTTATTTTTCCTAATACAGGTAGTCCCCAGTTTAAGAACAAGTTCCGCTCCCAAAGTCTGTCCTTAAGTCGATTTTGTATGTATGCCAGAACAGTATTATTGTATAATACTGTATAAGGAGTACTGTGTAATAAACCATTGTGTATTTAACTCAAATCATTGTGTATTTAACTCGAATTTTGCTCCAATCGGCTCCATTCCTAACTATGGATTGTCTGTAACCTAGGCATTCTTAACCCAAGGACTCCCTGTATGATAAAGCAAGTGGGTTTAATTCAGACAAAGTCATTTTTAATAAATATGTATGTTTTCCATTTTTCTACATGGGCAAAAAATCATAAATAATAAAAATGAAAAAAACTGCAGTTACTGTAGTACATACACTAAAATAATATCTAACTGAATATTCTCTACAGAACCGTCTGATGTAGTGTAATACTGACTTGACATATATTATCAAGACCTGGCTGGGTCCAGAAAGGGGGTAGCCATTTCTGAGATCTGCCCAGTAGGTTTGGGGTGTGGAATCAGCCAAGACTCCAGGGCAGGGGTGGGAGTATGGTGATTGTCATCCAGGAATCCCTTACAGCTTTTAGGAGCACTGCCCCACAGGTCCCCAGATGTGAGACTCTCTTCATTAAGTTGGGCTCTAGGATCAATTGGGATTGTTGCTGTTGTACCAGCCTCCCTACTGCAAAGCAACCTCCCTGCTTGAGTTCCTTGACTCCATCTCATGCTGGTCTTGTTGCAGGTTCAGGGAGATACCTGGAGTGGAATCTTGCCCAGTATCTGGGAACAGTTTGAACCTGTTAGACCTGAGGAAGTGGACAAGGTCCATCAAACTGTAAGCTCAGCCACCTGCTCTCTAGATCTATGCCCCTCTTGGCTTGTGAAAGGGGCCCGGGGGTGTTGTTGTGAATGGGCTCTAGAGGTGGTTAATTATGCTTTGAGAGAGGGGTTGTTCCTTTATCTCTTAAAGAGGCCTTGGTATGCCCCCTTCTCAAGAAGCCATCACTGGATCCACCATATTGGACAATTTTTGTCCAATATCTAACCTCCCTTTTTTGGGAAAGGTGGTTGACAGGATGTGCAATAGCTTCAGAGGGCCTTGGATGAAGCAGATTATCTGGATCCTTTTCAGTCAAAATTCAGACCCAGGTATGATACAGAAACAACATTGGTCGCATTTTTGGATGATCTCTGGCATGGGCAGGATGGAGGTTAGGTATCCAACCTTGCCCTTCTTGACCTCTTGATGGCTTTTGATATCATCAACCATGGTATCCTTCTGGATTGGCACAGGGACTGGGGGTGGGTGGCATGGTGCTGTGCTGGTTTGCCTCCTTTCTCCGGAGTCAATTCCAGTTGGTGATAATTGGGAAGGAGAGGTCCTGCCCTTGGCCCCTACTTTGTGGGATGCTTCAGGGTTTGGTGCACTCCCCTCTCCTATTTAATATCTACATGAGGCCACTGGGTGAGCTCATCCATCACCACGGGGTGGGGTATCATCAGTATGCTAATGATACCCAACTATATGTCTCTGCCCATGGCAAATTAAGTGATGCTGTGAATGCCTTATCCTGATTCCTGGGGGCTATAAGGGTCTGGATAGGGTCCAACAGGCTTCAACTGAACCCTGGGAAGACTGAGTGGCTTTGGGTTTTGGGTCCTGCCAGTTCTAGACTTGAGCATGAAACTGAGCAAACTCAGGGAGGCAGTGAAGGACAGGAAGGCC